ACCCCACATAAAGTACATGAGAACCTTGAGAGGGAGGTGTAACAGGTCTGGCCCTGTTATTTATATATTTATATAAATACATTTATATAAATATTCATCTCCTTCCTTTAAATGATCACTTTTATGAGCATATATTTGGGCAAAATAGTTTCTGATAACTTCCTTTATTTCCTCGTGAATTGTTGTGACCTCTTGTTTTTAAATTTTTTACTTGAACAATATGGTTTTCCTTTCTTTATTAAAAAAAATCAGATTGGTTAGCTGTTTATCTGTCTCATTAGTGTTTTTAAAAAATGCTCCTAGATTTAATAGTTCATTATTTTTGACTTTCAATTTTATTAATCTTTTAATTTTTAGAACTTCTATTTGGTTGTTTAATGGGATTTTAAAATTTGTTGTTGCTCAAGTTTTTTTTTTTATGTTGTGTGAGAAATGAAAGAGTTAAGTTTCCACATCATCTTCGGAACCGAGTTTGGGGTCCTCTTTATAACAGTTGTGATCTTAATTCCTTTATTTTTTCTTCTCTTTACTGATAAAAACATTTAGAGACATCAGTTTGCCCCTAATAACTATTTTAGTTTCATCCCATAAGTTTTAGTATATTGTCTCATTATTTCTTTTACGACATTTTCTAATTTGTCCTTTGATCTATCAGTTCTTTAGGATTACATTACTTAGTTTCTTAATTATATTAAGTGTTAATTTGAGCCCTGTATTAGATATAAGTTTTATTACATTGTGATTAGTAAATGGTGTATTTAGTATTTGTGCTTTTCTATATTTTTTGATGAAGTATTTGTGCCTCAACGTGTGGTCAGTTTTATAAAGTTGCCATGTATAGATGAGAAGTATGTAAATCCCTTTCTATTACCATACAGTAATCACCAGAGATCTATCATCTCTAATTTTCTAAATTCTATTTAAATCCTTAACTTCTTTCTTGTCATTTCTTGGTTAGCTTTATTAAAGTTTGAAAGACTTTTTATTCTTAGGCTAAAGAAAGACCTCTGACAGAGGATAAAGGTCTCTGACAAAGGCATAAGCCTCAGTGACCAGGAATAGCAGATCAAACAAAAGATTTATGCCTGAGGATACGAGCTAACTAGCCATGTTTGGCGTTAGAAAGAACTTGATAAAAGAAGCCAGAAATCTCCTTTTTAACATAGATACTAACTCATGTGATCCTCATAACAATCCTGAGAGGTAGGCACTGTTATTAGCCCTATTTTACAGATGAGGAAACTGAGGCTAAGAGAAGTAGGATGACTTGCTTAGGGGCACCCAGATAATAAGTGCCTAAGCAGCATTTGAACTCAGGTCTTCCTGATTTCAAGTCAGGTCCTGTACCCACTGTGCCACAAAGCTGTCTCCTATGTATTCCATATGTGTTTGACTCTATCATAAATGTTCTCTACATATGTCCTAACTTCCCATTAATTTTATGTATACCCATGGGAAAGTATGTCCCAGGTTTATAGGGGGAAGTGTTTTATTGATGACTAAAAAAACCTGTTATTTCATCAACTGCCTTTGCTTTGAACAAATTTTTAGAATCTCTTCTTTCCTTCAAAATTCAGCATATTACCTCCCACATGAGATCTTTACTGATGCCTCTAGCTGCTGGTGCCTTTCCCCTGGAAATCACTTGTGTTTCTTTTCGATATAACTCTTCATTCACTCTTCATGTTTTGTACCCTGTTAGAACACAAATTCCTTGAGGTCAGGACCTGTCTCACTTTTGTCTTTGTTTTCTCCGCACTTAGCCCACCATCTGTGTAGACCCTGTGCTTAATAAATGCCTTTTGATTGATCAAACCTAGTCAAATGAATTTCTAAGGGTGAAATTTTAGATATCATGACATTCTTCTTTTAAAAATTTATTTTGAATTATCAACAATCACTTCCATAAGCTTTTGAGTTTTAAAATTTTCTCCCCATCTCTCCCCACCTCCCTCCCCAAGATGGCATGCAATCTGATATAGGCTATACATACACATTCCTATTAAACATATTTTTACATTAGTGATGTAAGTAAAAATTAGAACCAATAGGAGGAACCACCAGAAAGAGGAAACAAAACACAACAGAAGAAAAAAATAGCAAATAGTATGCTTCAATCTGCATTCAAACTCCATAGTTCTTCCTTCCTTGTGGATAGCATTTTCCATCATGAGGCCTTTGGACATGTCTTAGATCCTTGTATTGCTGAGAAGGGTTAAGTCTATCAATATTAGTCATCGCACAACATGGCTGTTATTGTGTACAACGTTCTCCTGGTTCTGCTCACTTCCCTCAGCATCAGACCATACAAGTCTTTCCAGGTTTTCCTGAAGTCAGCCTGTTCATTATTTTTTTTGGCACAATAGTATTCCGTTACATTCATATACCACAACTTGTTTGTCCATTCTCCAATTGATGGGCATCCTCTCAGTTTCCAGTTCTTTGCCACCACAAAAAGAGCTGCTATAAATATTTTTGTACATGTGGGTCCTTTTCCCATTTGTATGATCTCTTTGGCATACAGCCCTAGAAGTGCTATTGCTGGGTCAAAGAGTATGCACATATTTATAGCCCTTTGACCATAGTTCCAGATTGCTCTCCAAATTGGTTGGATCAGTTCACAACTCAACTCCACCAACAATGCATTAGTGTTCCCATTTTCCCACATCTTCTCCAGCATTTATCATTTTCCTGTTTTGTCATGTTGGCCAATCTGATAGGTGTGGTGTGGTACCTCAGAGTTGGTTTGATTTGCATTTCTCTAAACAATAGTGATTTAGAGCATTTTTTCATATGACTACAGATAGATTTAATTTCTTTGTCTGAGAACTGCCTGTTCATATCCTTTGACCATTTATCAATAGGAGAATGACTTGTATTCTTATAAATTTGACTTAATTCTTTATATATTTTAGAAATGAGGCCTTTATCAGAGACACTGGTTGTAAAAAATTCTTTCCCAATTTTCTACCTTCCTTCTAATCTTAATTGCATTGGCTTTGTGCAAAAACTTTTCAATTTAATGTAATCAAAGTTATCCATTTATTTTTCATAATGTTCTCTATCTCCTGTTTGATCATGAATCCTTCTGCTCTCCATAAATCTAATAAGTAAACTATTCCTTGCTCTCCCTTGCTTACAGTATCAGCCTTTATATCTGAATCATGGACCCATTTTGACTTTATTTTGGTATATGGTTACCATGACATTCTTCAAGGGTCTGGGAAAGAAACTTTTGGACAGGGAGGGACTTATTGCTATTCCTCAAATCACATAACTGAGATCACATGTCTAATCCCTGGTACTGAAACTGGATCCACTGGGTTTCTAAGGAGTTTGGGCTTTATATGTGTTTAATGAAATGTTGCTCAGATGAGACACCTGTGGAAACCATAGGCTAGATGGTTTTTCATTGATTAGTTCTGTAAGGAAACAAAGGGAACTAATTCAATGTAAGGACATTTCTTAAGCACCTACCAAGGGCAGGTGTGGAGGGGAGGGGAAGGAGTGGTGGGATACAAATAAGGTTTTAGCCCCACAGAGCATAGAGGGGCCAGATGAGATATTGACTGAATCCCCCAATGATTAGAATCCAAGTTGAAAAGGAAACATCTCTCCTTTGCTTTCTCAGTCTTTTGCTTCATGCACAAGACACAACTGGAATGAATTTCTACAAATCTTGCTGGCTGACCTTACTAGCTATCATAACTTTCTCATTTATTAGGAAGTGAATTTAAGGACAAAACAGTAAAAGAGGAAATGGTCTGTTTGAGAGGTAGCTTGGCCCAGTGGATAGATAACTTGTCTGAAAGCCCCTGGAGACTTACATCTGATCCATCCTGGCCGTGTGACCCAGGCAAGTCCCTTAAGCTCTCAAGGCCCCAGGCAATTTTTTAAGACCACAAGTTACAGAGAAGGTGCAGATCTCCGTTGGAAGAGAGATCAGTTGGGGCTGGGGAACAGGGTTGGTTCATGGGTAGCTGGGGTTCAGTATCCCTAGGATGGGTAGGGTTTAAGGTGATGGGAGCATGCCAACTCTCCAGAAACAGCCCAGGCAGAGTAACAATGAGAGGTCTATTTAGGGAGCTGGGTGAGTCCCAAGTTATTCTTCAAGGTTTAACTCCATGGCAAGTAGTCATGTTGTATTGTGTGAGGCCCCATGTGGCTGGCCAGGCAGCAAGCAGGAGCAGGAGTCCTAGCCCAGGGCATCTGGGAACTGGTTCAGGGGACAAGAGGTGTTGTTGGTGCCACGAGAGCCAATCCTTTGTGTGGAATCCAGGGGCAGGGGGTGGTGACTTAGACACCTCATGACAAGCTCAGGAAGGGCCTGGAGTTATCTAAGTGAGGTCTGGTCCTCACTTTTCTCTACATCTGCTGATCTGCTTGGATTCAGCTTCACAGAAAAAGATGGCCCTCCCAGGACATGCTCATCACTTCTAAACTCTCCACCAGGCTGCTAACTGAAGCCTTGATTGACACCACCTCTCTCAGCCTTCTCTCCCCTCTGATTGGACGGCTGGAGGGAGGAGTCCCAAACTCCTCCTAAGGCCTTCCTTTAGAGGAGACAGAAATTGGACTATAAGATCCTCACTCACCTTTGCATCCGGGGTCCTGCCTGGTTTCAAATCCATGGAACAATTTCTTCTCTGGTGTTTTACCTCTCTCTCCACCCCAATCCCATGCTCCCCCCTCCTCCTGCCTCATTTTGTGTGTTGTCTCTCCCTTTGGATTGTAAGCTCCTTGAGTTCAGGCATTGTCATTCTTTTTATTACTTGTATCTCTAGTCCTTAACACAGTGCCTGGCACATACTAGGTGCTTAAGAAATGTTTATTGGATTGGATTGTTGCAGTGGCCTGGGGGGCTCTGTTCCCCAAAGCCCCACCTTTTCTCTAACCCAAGCCTCAGTTACCTTATTTTCAAAGCATGGTGACCTGCCCAAATAAGGAATTCAATTTCTATGAACGTTAATTTCTGTTCCCTTCTCCTGCCATCTCCACAGAGCTCACCCAGAGCAGGGTCCTGGTCACTAAGAATCAAGGTCAAGGTCAAGCTGAACATTCTTCCACGTTGGCTTGGGTCCCAAGCTTCTCCTCATCCTGACCATGGGGGTCTTGGTGGCTGTCTTCTCCTTCTTCCTTCTCCTCCTCCCTTCTGGCTTCTGCTTGGTGATGTCAGTCAAGCACGGTAAGTCCCTTTCCTTTTCTAATTGCCTTGAGGTCCCTCTCATGGGTCCTCATTCAGCTCTTTCCTTCACAGCTGCTTCAACTGACTTTGTCCCCTGCTGCAACAACTTCATCAGCCATCGGATCCCACAATCTCTTGTGATCGGTTTTGTTAGGACCAGCCCCCAGTGCCCCAAGCCTGGAGTTTTGTGAGTACTTCATATGCTGACTTTTTCTGAAAGGACAAGAAGTGATGGGGTGATGTGCAAGAAGGCATGGAGAGCAGCCCCTGGCAAAGGCTGAGAATCCCCAAGGAATCCAGTGGGGAAGGGGATTTAGACTTGTGTTTCTTGATCCTATCCTATAGCACTAGAAGGAATGGGTAAAAATTTCAGAGGCAAATTTAGGATCAATGTAAGGGGAAAAAACCCAGCAACTCCCTTAGGATCATGGCTCCAGAGCTGAGAGGGACCTTGGAGGCCATGAAGTCCAACATCCCAATTTTACAAATAAGGAAACGGAGACCTAGAGAATGACAGAGACCTTGTCAAGGTCACACAGGTGGTAAACATTAGAGGTGGGAGGTGCTTGGGCCTCTGTACTGCAGCACCTCCTAAATCTGGAATGGTCATGGGTTCTCCTACACCAGACTTCATCAGCCAGAGGCTGTCTAACCATTTGTGCTGAGATGTTGTAGACAAGAATCTGGTTTCCATACAGGCTAGACTAGGTGGCTTCTGAGATCCCTTTCCTCTCCAATATTCTAGAACTCAGGAAATTTCTGGCCTCCCTAGCTTACTGAAGAGGAGGATTTGACCGTAGAGAGACTGGAAATAGTACTGAATTGGTAGTCAAAAATTGTTGTTCAGTCATTTTCCATTGTGTCCAACTATTTGTGTCCCTATTTGGAGTTTTCTTGGCAGAGGTACTGGAGTAGTTTGCCATTTCCTTCTCCAGATCATTTGACAGATGAGGAAACTGAGGCAAACAGGGTGAAGTGACTTACCCAGAGTCATACAACTTAGTAAGTGTCTGAGGCTGGATTTTTTTTTTTTTGTCATCGTCTTTTTTTGGGTGAGGCAATGGGGGTTAAGTGACTTGCCCAGGGTCACACAGCTAGTAAGTGTCAAGTCTCTAAGGCCAGATTTGAACTCAGTTCCTCCTGACTCCAAGGCCACAGCTTTATCCACTGTGCCACCTAGCTGCCCCCTGAGGCTAGATTTGAACTCAGGTTTTTGGAACTCCAGACCTGTCACTCTATCCACTGTGTCACCTAGCTTCCTGGGAGTCAAAAGACCTGGGTTCAAATTTCAGCTCTGTCATTTATTACCTTTGTGACCTCCTTGGATGTCTCCTTTCACTTTCTTTGGGCCTCTTAGGTTTAATGGTCTTCTATGACCCTTTCCGTGCATCTATAACTGTTGGACAGGATGACCCCTGACCTCTCTTCCAGTTCTAAATTGATGATGCTATAATCATAAATTACAAATACTTAGAATATGGTGTCATATGATATATTAAATAGTTTTGTTGTAATTATAAATATTTCTATCTAGTGTTATAATTATATATCATATAATACATTATAATTATAAATATTTATAACATAGTTTATAATTATATATTATATGATATATTGTTATAATTATAAATATTTTCATACAGTGTTAGAATTATAAATGTGTATAATATATTGTTATAGTATCATACACAATATACTGTAATAAACAACATATACCAATTATTCACATTACAGGTCACAGGTCACTTAGCCTTTACGGAAGAGCTATCTTTCATTTCTCAGAAGCCTTGAGATTATTCTGGGGGGAGGTAGTAGTGGTACCTGGAGTAGAAGAACAATGGGGCTCCCCTGAAAGTCCTTGCCCTAACAGGGAAACCAGGCACATTCCCCAACCATCAGAGAATCCTCACAAACCTCAGGGCGTGGGTATACGAGAGGGATGGGGTTTAGGATTGGTAGGCAGAGGAGACCTTGGAAATCATCCAAGCTAATCCCTCCATTTTGTTGAGAAGGAAACTGAGGTCTCTAGAGCTGTTGAGGGTTTTCTATGGTCCCACAAGGAGTAAGTAGTAGAGATGGCCTTTTGATTTTAGAGCTAGGGCTCTTTATAGGACAACTACAATGCCCCTGTAGGTAGTTGTGGTAGGGAAGATTGAGTGGTGACAGAAGCTGGTTTGGAGATGATGGGTAAGGCTCTGAGATCTCCCAGCAGATTGAGATGAGCTAGTTGGGAATCTCCTTCCTGTACTGGACCTGATGGGTAGGAGCTGCTCCCATTGAAGGTTGGGAGAGACACCCCAGGGAGGATACCCAGGAGATGCTGAAGAGGGAGAGGCTCACAGCCCTGGGGAGATGAGGGCAAAGTCAGGCTGCAGAAAGGGAGAAATGAGAAAAGAAGGGCATTTAATTTCAGCAGTTCTCTGAATAGACTCCACCTGCTTTTCAATCCTCAGGTTTGAAACCAAACAAGGACTGAAAGTCTGTGCCAATCCAGCTGTCCACTGGGTCCAGAGGTATATCAAAAGCCTGGGTTTCAACTAAGCTGGGGGGACAGGGTGGCAGGCGAAAGAGGACAAGGAAAGTCAGCTGGAGCATACCTGTGCCCTTTTGCTAGTGCTGACCTGGTCCTGGCCCCCAGGACTGCAGGCAGCCTCAAAGCTGCTATTCCCACCCCAGAGGGATGGATGGAAATGGGTCAAGCTGCTCCCACAGTCTGGGGGACAATAAAAGCCTTTGAAAGCAAAACTCTCTGTTGGTTTTCCTGGGGATGTGGGTTGAATGGATTTTACTTCTCTTTCCTACTTTCCTGCATCAATCCATACTGGAGACTCTTCTCACCAATCATGCAGGGGAGATGGAGTCTAGGACAGGCAGAGGGTTCAGGTTTATGGTGAGAAGAAGCTGGCATGTGACTTCCACCCCCAAGTTCAGGATTCCTGTCTTTCCACTTTCTGTTCTTCTCTAGGCCTGTCTTCTTTTTTCAATGACTAGTTCTCCCTACTTCCCCCCAATCCCTACCTTCTCTTCCAAGTCACCCAGGCTCATAACCTCAGTTTCATACTCTATTCCTCATTTGAATCTGTTTTCAAATCTCTTTTCTACCTTCAAAACATCTCTCCTCTAGATCTGCCTTTTTCTACTGACATGGCTCTGTCACTGGTGCTGGCCCTTATCCATTACCTCTTATGTGGACTATTCTCCTAGTTAATCCCTCTGCCTCAAGTCTTTCCTCACTAATTCATTCTTCACTCAGCTGCCAAAGTGATTTTCCTAAAGCACACTTCTGACACCGTGGCACCTCCCTTTCCCCTGCACAGAAGGAGGTCCACTGGCTTCCTATCACCTCCAGGATCAAATATGAATCTTCTGTTTGTCATCCAAAGCTCTTTATCACTTGATTCCTTCCTGCCTTTCTGCCTTTCTTACACTTTTTAGTCTCCTGCATTTTCCAAGATCCAGAGACGTTGGAATCCTTGCTGTTGCTCATACGTGATGCTCTGTACTCAACGTCTGTTTCTTCAAGCTCTCCCCCATTCCTAGAATGCTTTCCCTCTTCACCTCTCCCTCTTGACTTCTCTGGTTTCATTCAAGACTTAGCTCAGATCCCATCTGCTGCATCTGTTCTCCCTCCCCTGCTAGTACCTTCCCTCTGGGCTGACCTCCCATTTCTTCACCTTGTAGATAGCTTGTATGTACATAGTTGTCTCCCCCATTAGAAAGTGAGCTCCTTGAGTTTAGGGCTCAGGTTTCTGTCTTTCTTTGTATTCCCAGTGCTTAGCACAGTACCTGACACATAGTAGATGCTTAATAAATGCTTTTTGATGGACTGATTATTTGTATTCCTAATACTTAACATAGCATCTGGTACATAGCAGGTGCTTAGTAAATGTTTTTTGATTTAATATTTTATTTTTTTCCCCAATTATGTGTGAAAACAATTTTTTAAAAAACATTTGAGAAGGAAAACAATCTGATATAGGTTTTACATGTGTAGTCATGCAAAACATATTTCCATGTTAGTTTGTTGTAAAGGAAAAGGGAGACCAAAAAAACCCCCAAGAAAAATAAAGTAAAGAAAAGGCATACCTCAATCTGTATTCAGACTCTATTAGTCCTTTCTCTGGAGGTGGATAGCATTTTTCATCATAAGTCTTTCAGGATTGTCTTGGATCATTGTATTGCTGAGAGTAGCTAAGTTATTCACAGTTGATCATCATAAAATATTGTTGTTACAGCATATAATGTTCTCTTTGTTCTGCTCATTTCACTTTGCATCAGTTCATGTAAGTCTTTCCAGGTTTTTTTCTGAGAGCATACTGCTCATCAGTTCTTACAGCACAGTAGTATTCCACGACAATTACGTACAACTTGTTCAGCCATTCCCCAACTGATGGCCATCCTCTCAATTTCCAGTTCTTTGTCACCACTAAAACACCTGCTATAACTATTTTTGTGCACATAGATCCTTTTCCTTTTTTTTTTTTTAATCTCTTTGGGATATTAGTGGTATTGCTTGGTCAAAGGGTCATGTGGGAGATAATATGCTGAGTTTTGAAGGATGTAGAGGACCACATGTGGCCTTGAGGCTACAAGTTCCCTACCCAGATGGCTTTTCATTGATTAGTTCTGTAAGGAAAAAAGGAACTAATTCAATTTTAGGGACATTTCTTAAGCACCCACCTAGTGGCAGGTGCTGAGGTGAGGGGAAGGAGTGGTGGGATACAAATAAGGTTTTGCCCCCACAGAGCATAGAGGGTCCAGATGAGAAATTGAACAAATCCTCCAATGCTTGGAAACCAAGTTGAAAAGGAAACATATCTCCTTTACTTTCTCGGTCTTTTGCTTCATGCACAAGATATAACTGGAATGAATTTCTACAAATCTTACTGGCTGACCTTACTAGCTATCATAACTTTCTCATTTATTAGGAAATGATTTAAAGACAAAACAGTAAAAGAGGAAATGGTCTGTTTGAGAGGCAACCTGGCACAGTGGATAGATAGTTTGTCTGAAAGCCCCTGGAGACTTATTTCTGACCCATCCTGGCTGTGTGACCCAGGCAAGTCCCTTAAGCTCTCAAGACCCCTAGACAATTTTCTAAGACCACAAGTTACAGAGAAGGTGCTGATCTCCATTGGAAGATGGATCAGCTGGGGCTGGGGAACAGGGTTGATTCATGGGTAGCTGGGGTTCAGTATCCCTAGGATGGGTAGGGTTTAAGGTGATGGGAGCATGCCAACTCTCCAGAAACAGCCCAGGCAGAGTAACAATGAGAGGTCTATTTAGGGAGCTGGGTGAGTCCCAAGTTATTCTTTAAGGTCTAACTCCATGGCAAGTAGTCATGTTGTATTGTGTGAGACACAATGTGGCTGGCCAGGCAGCAAGCAGGAGCAGGAGTCCTAGCCCAGGGCATCTGGGAACTGGGTCAAGAGACAAGAGGTGGTATTGGTTCCAGAGGGACTATCCCTTGTGTGGAATCCAGGGGCAGGGGGTGGTGACTTAGACACCTCCTGGCAAGCTCAGGAAGGGCCTTGTTGTGCAGTAGTTTCAGTCCCTGGTGCCTTTCACAGAGTTCTTAATGAGTGAGTCTGATAAGTTTGCACAGCTCTGCCTTGATCAAATCCAACCCACTTGCAAGTCAAGACATCATCACCTCTCTGATGTCACGATCCCCTTCGAGAACAAAGCACAAACACAACAACAACACTTATTAACTGACTTTCCCTCCCCTACCTATATTGCCAAATAACCTTTTCCTGTTCCTTTGCTGGCTTATCCCATTTTTCTTGCCCATCTCTTTGCTTTCTCCTTTCCCTTCCCAGTCCCGTATGTTTGCCTTTCTAAATGTTAGGAGGAGAGATAGTGTGGGTTCTTTATAGCCCGGGTTTAGTGTTTTGGCAGCGTGGGGTAATGGGAGGCCTGCTGGCTTTGGAATCCCAGTTCTGAAGCTATTTATGAGCCTTTGGGCAACTCTCTTGATCTCCTTGGGCTTCTCTTCCTCTATACATCATGAGAGGGTTGGACTACATAACTACTTTGAAGATTTTTTTAAATTGACATCTTGTGTTATTATATCACCTTCATATCTCAGCTGAAGAGAAGGTGCCAACCTGCCTTGGTAGAAAGATTTTTTTTATTAAAATGAGAATTAATTTATTATTCCTTTATACTCCTCTGCTTCACCACAGTAACAAACTTATTTTGAAACAATACATTGTAATATTGAATCATTTATATGTCTATTTGCCTGATTTTTTTTTTGTTGTCAAAAGACTTTGCATTTGGTGCCATACCTACCAAACTCTTTTCATTATTTCTTTAATCTTCTACCACTAATCTTACCCTACATAATTTTAAAATATGAATTTAAATGAAAAAAATAAATTTATTAATCACATCTTACATTATATTTTCCCATATCACTTTGAAGCATTCCTCATTTTATTCTCAGTGATCAGATATTTAGGGAATCTAATTAGTTTTCAGTCTGTCTGCTTTATGAATCAAATGTTTCAGGTATATTTATTCAGTGTCTAAAAATGGCAAAAACAGAGATTAAAGGAGGCTCACTCTAAAAAGTCATCTAAAATCCTGAGCAGCAGTGCAAAGATATTCCTAGAAGGAGTTTTCTTAGATAGGAGATCTACTTTTATCATTAAAATCTCAGCTCCAGTCCCTATCCCTATTGCTCTCCTATCTCAATATATCATTCGCTTCCTCATCCAGAGACTCTGTCCCGATCCAAAGGATGAAAGAGAAAGAATGACTAAAGCATTTATTAATCCCTTACTAATCCCTTACACACACATGTGTGTAAGCTACATTAACTCTTTTAAAGTATTTGTTTTTTTAATTTCTAATTAATTTATTTTGAATTACCTAATAATAATAATAATAATAATAATAAGCTTTTGAGTTTTGAATTTTTCTCCCTCTCCCTCCCTACTTGCCTCCCCAAGATGGCACACAATCTGATATAGGCTATACATATACATTCCTGTTAAATATATTTTCACATTAGTGATGTGGTAGGTAAGAATTAGAATCAGTAGTAAGAACCACCAGAAAGAGGAAACAAAACACAACAGAAGAAAAAAGATAGCAAATAGTATGCTTCAATCTGCATTCAAACTCCATAGTTCTTTCTTTGGATGTGGGTAGCATTTTCCAACATGAGGCCTTTGGAGATGTCTTAGATCCTTGTATTGCTGAGAAGGGTTAAGTCTATCTATATTAGTCATCGCACAACATGGCTGTTACTGTGTACAATGTTCTCCTAGTTCTGCTCATTTCACTCAGCATCAGACCATACAAGTCTTTCCAGGTTTTTGTGAAGTCAGCCTGTTCATCATTTCTTATAGCACAATAGTATTCCATTATATTCATATACCACAACTTGTTCAGCCATTCCCCAATTGATGGGCATCTTCTCAATTTCCAATTCTTTGCCATCACAAAAAGAGCTGCTATAAATATTTTTGTGCATGTAGTTCCTTTTCCCATTTGTATGATCTCTTACATTAACTTTTAAAGTGACTTTTACTACTAGTTATCTACAGGAAGAGGACAGCTAGATGGCACAGTGGATAGAGCACTGAGCTGGGAATCAGATCTTCCTGAGTTCAAATCAAGCTTCAGATACTGACTAGCTCTGTGACTCTGGGCAAGTCTTTTAGCCCTGTTTGCCTAAGTTTCCTCATCTTTCAAATGAG